ACTGTTCAAAAATTACATAACTGACCTCAACAAAACTTTTTAAATTCAATTTTCTGTCCCAAGTTGTACGTCTGAAGTTCTGCCATACGCGAGAGACATCTTAACCACCTAATGATTTGTGAAGAAGCCTGTGTGCCTCAAAAATACTATACCACTTGAGATCTTGAGTAAAATTCTGACCCAAAATAGAAGGCCTATGAAAGGCTTTGAGTATGAGAAGTAACAAATCCATAAGTAAGAAACTTTACGTGACAAATGACGTGACAAGAGATATAGAAAAAAAATGAATTTTTCGCAGCTATGGTCCCTTAACTATACTCATAATTGCATTTGGGTTACTGAACTCAATTATTAGTTGCAGAGGTCACGCAACTATGTGTTTCGTTGCACCAGCAGTCCTTCCGTCAAGTCCGTTAGTTTTTTCTGTTTAAAATGATGACGTGGCAAGATCAATATCCAATTATTGATGACTTTTCAGTTAGGATTATTTGTAGCAATGATCCCTCAACTATACTTGGAGTTACATTTTGATCACTTAACTCCAAAAAATAGTTACAGAGGTCACTGAATTAGGTGTTGTGTTGCATCATTAGTCCCTTCCGTTAGATAGACTTGACGGTAGGGATTAAAGGTGCAACGAAACACATTGTTGAGTGACCTCTGCAACTAATAATTGAGTTCAGTGACCCAAATGCAATTACGGGTATAGTTGAGGGACCATAGCTGCGAAAAACCCATTAATATGTGCAACCGTGAACCCAAAAATGTCATATTTTTCCTTTTTAAAGTTTAATGAAAACTTATGAAACAGCATGTAACTAGTAAGAAAATAATGAAAATTTTGAGTTATTGGCCTCCTCAAATATGGAAAGGTTAGCTCCGCCTATGTACCTATGATAGTTAAGTTTTTCCAGACACAAGATGAAATTGGTAAGTGAAAAGGGTAACATCTGCATAGGTTTTTGGCAATGAAGCAAAATTGGAATTGGATGGTTTTAAACTTGTTTGGAATGTTACTCAGAGGATTATGGATTTTAGACAGACATTACAAAAGAACTTCACCAGACCATAAATCAAAGTTTTTTCTTTTGGTTTTTTCATTTGAGCATATCAAAATTTACAGGCGAAAATTAAGCGTATATTGAGCATTACCCTTGTCGAAAGATGCTAGACTTACCACATTTTTATATCACATTGTGTATCACCTCTCTAATAGAGGTGGACTCAATCTCTATTAGAAAGGTGGTACAAAATGTGATAAGCCTAGCATTATCCTTGTCGCTAAATGTTAATGAACTAAATTGTATGATTTAATTTGAAACGTACTATTACAAAATTAATACAATATTGCATTGTAAGTGAAGAAAATAAATGTTTGTTGAACAACCAGTGTCACATGTCGCCATAAGGTGCAGAATAATTTAATTTATTTAGAGAATCAAACGGTGGACTCCTTCCTTCTAAATTTATTTGTCTTCATAAATGCCCAACCACCCTTACATACCAGAAGACGGCATGCACACATGGACCACGTGCAAAGAACATGACTCAAATGATGGATTTTACAGGTCCAGAGGCCCCATCAAATGAAATGAATGATCAAATACCTGCAATGACCCATTATACATACCTTTTGTTCAGGGTTATAATTTGAAGAACAAGACCCACCCCAAACCCTATCTAAGATTTGACTGGGTTCAAGCGGGTATGAAGCTCGGGTTGAACTTGCGATAGATAATTTCTTGGATCTCATCAAAATCAAATTGAGCTTGATTAGCCAAAATTTAAATATTAAGCAATAACAATAATTAAAATAGAAATAAAAAAAATATGCATTGGTGGCATAAATGTAATTCAGCACATTTTTGCTCGTGCCATCATTAATAGAAAAACTTGCATGTTCTAAACTAGGGTCTAAACGGAACATGTTAAACCATGTTACGTCTTTGGCAATCTTGACATCTTTTGGAATAGTCAAATGCAATCTTTGTCTACGATATCGGTGATTTAAAAACACGGAAATATTAATGGAAATATCGAAAAATTATCGATATCGGTAAAAATTGAATAAAAACCACGAAAATTGAAAAAACTTGAAAATTTTAATTGAAATTTTAGAGGTTGTTTATTTAGTCAATTATCTATTATTATATCACCCAAAAAAAAAAAGACGGAAAATGAGTATTAACATGTCAACAACATGATAATGGATTTTAGTCACACACAATTATTGATTGCTAATAGTATATATGTGCTGTGATACATCGTAGATTTGTATATCATCGTGGACTGGCCACAAGTCACCACCATTCATCTAGTTATCGACCTTTTGGAAATTTGGAGCATTACAAAATCCATTCCATTTCACCCTAATTCAAACCGTAATGTTATATTAGTTCGGTATGCAGTTTGAGGCGTAATCAAACTCGTGATATTACATCAATTTGGCGTGTGATTTAAGGCCTAAACCAAACCAAACCAAGCATAATTTAAGAATCATCTCTTGCCTTTCATTTTCATTTTATATTAAAGATTAATCATGCTGTGGTTTGTGTCATGGAAAAACATTAGAAAGAACAGTTACTGCAAATCGAAATGGATAAGTAACCACATGATACACTCGAACACAACTTAATTCACCAAAAATTCTACCATGGACCTGGTGTATCAGTGTGCGAATTTTTTCAACGTTGGATCAATTGTAATCAACGGCTATTGACAAATGTAGAAAAAGCTATAATTGGAACTTGCACAACCGGTAAAGAGAACAAAAGTATGAGAGAGAAAAGCAAAACTAAAAAAGGTTTTTTAAAAGAGCCTAAACAAAACAAAATAAGTTATATCCATTAAAAAAACAATTAAACCCCCCAACTCCCCCAGCTAGGGATGGTAATGGGTCGAATGAGGGGTCGGTATGCCATTCCCATCCCCATTCTTGTTAAGTTTTTCCCCCATCCCCGCATTCATACCCACAATATTTATATCGGGGATTCCCTGACCCGCCCCATTACGGAAGAAAAAACCAATATATAACTACTTTGTTGAAAAAAAAAAGTACTAAGGCATTAATGAATATATATATATAATGTATACTTATGAGACAATATGAGAATGTTTATATATGTACTGGAAGTTAACTAAATAAATAAGTAATGTGACTTAAGGTTTGTATAAATTATATAAATATAATAATATAAAATATAAAACTTAGTCGGTACGATCACTTTAATAACATATATATATATATATTTTAAGTTGGAGATTAAAATACCATCCCCACCCCTCCCCAAACACCATACCCAAAAAAATCCCGTACCCATCCCCTTACCCGTTTTATGTCCTTCATACCTGACCCATTAGGGTGAAATTCCAGTGAAAACCCTTACCCATAGGGAAAATTGTCATCCCTACCCCTAGCCAACCATCCCTTCCCATTAGATAATTCCACTTCTTCCTTTTTTTCCTTGTTTTTTTTTGGCTACATGCTTTTCAACTTATATTTGTCTGCACTATATTTTCTTTTCTTTTTATACCATGCCTTATATTTTCTTTTTCTTTTTATACCATGTTATATATTTTCTTCTTTCTTCGGTTGTCATGTGTCGCCATATATCGTTTAATTTAATTTCTAAAAATTATAATAAATAAATTATAAATCCAAAAAATGCACCAAAATTTAATACAAACTCCTTGTGACATTCTATACTCTCTCATGCTCCAAAAATATAATTTTGACACTTAAAAAAAAACAAAAACAAAAACTCATGTTTGTTTCTAAACAAACCAAAGCATTAGTTAGTGTTCTTTAATGGCATTTTCATTCTTTAAGTTGTTTTGATGGTCATATAGAATTTTATGCCGCATAAAAAAAAAAAGAAAAAAAAAGAACTGATTCCTCCAATCAAGAACTGAAACCATTGAAAGCATTGCATAGATAAATAGATGAAAGAGGTATTATTCAATTAATCACAGAAACATGGAAATGAAATAATAACGGAAAGGAACTGATAAAAGAAAATTGCTCAATACCCTGTGCGGAAACCATTTCCAATTGCTGGTAAAACCTCTTTGAAGATTACATAAACACAACCAAATTACATAGATATGGACATGTATAAGCATATGCACCAAACCTGTAAAAAAAAATCTCCAAAATCAAACAATCCAAAATTCAAAGATTCCAAAACCAACTAAAACAATCTCTAACCATTCCCCAAAATAAAAACAAACACTAACAGACCAAACAATTTTTTTTTTTTGCTTCTTCATATTTCCAGCTATATATCTCCGATAGTTTTTTTTTTTTTTTTTGGTCACTCAAGCTTGCTTCATTAAAGCATCAGCCAAAGACACTAAGGACCAGCAAAACAACAGAGAACAACAAACAAAAAAATAAATATAAACTCAAGGCACCCGCACAAGAACACGAGTAGGTTAAGTAATAGCCCAAAAGGGAACCCCTCATGCACACTCAAGGCACCATTATGGGAAGCATTGTTGGGACCAACAGGAGTCATTCTTGGTAGTCCTTCGCTTAGCACACTCCCTCTAATCAAATAAAATTCACCAAAATTTGACAAGAAATACCTTAAAATCTAAGCTTGTTAAGTGGACCTTTGAAGAGGTAATTAGAGAAAAATTTCATATTCAATGAAAATTTCAAAAATTATGAGAAGATCATCATTATATAACTTAACACATAACTTTAGAGAAAGAGTTTATTAATAGTAGGAAAAGCTAAGAGCATAAATATGATTATATTCACAGAATCCATATTTACAAAACAAAAAAAAAAAGATGCAGCAAAAAACTGTTTTAATTTGTATAGTAAACATGAGAGAGAGAGAGAGAATGGAAAATAACATACAGCAAAAACGAGAGAGAAAGATGTGTGGGGCGTAAGAGAGAGAGAAGACATGAGCAAAGAGAAGAGAATAAAAGGAGAGAGGAAATGAGGTAATAATTAAAAGGGTATTTTAGGAATATTAGTGGGTGGAAAAATATAATTGTATTTTTAAAAAATTATATGATGGGTGAGAAGATAAGGTAATTGAGAAAATAAGACATGTGAGTGAAAATAACAGCTATTTGTATGATATTACCTGCTACCTGCTGTGGCAGTTATGAAAAATTGGCGCACCGGTGCACCGGAGACGTTGCCCTTAATTCACTAATATGTGATACATGTGATGTGGTACAGTACAGCTATATAAAGCTCCAAACCAAAAGTATTGATCGGCTGGTTACAACAACCCAAAAGTGACAATCGCACAGCCATTCATTTGATTAGATGTTTTGTCTTTTATTTTTCAGTATTGTAAGTGGGCATACGACATGCAGCTCAGGTAATTATGCAGACAAGGAGGGCCACACGACGTCACTTGCTGGCAAATTAGGCAGAGCAAAGATTCCACGAATGAAGCCGACGACAATAAACAAGAACAAACCTACCTCTGAGACTTTCCTATATAATTGTATCTAACCTCTTCACCTTCCTCTCTCAATAAGCTTCTCTCACGCCTCCTCCTATCCTAGATATGGCAGCTGTCCTTCGCATTAGCATCAACCCGAACCCATTGGCAACTATAATGTCAAGATCAAATCCTAGCCGTCCATCTAGGACCACGACGGCTGTAATGTCGCAAGATCATCCTTATTGGGCGTCCGTGCATGCCGAGATAGAGGTCCATCTCAAGCAGCACATCCTTGTCAGGCCTCCACTCTCAGTGTTTGAGCCCATGCACCATTTCGTGTTTTCCGCCCCGCCAAGCCCCGGACCGGCCTTGTGCGTGGCCTCATGCTCGTGGGCGGCCACCGCGACCAAGCCATTGCTGCGGCGGCTGCCTAGCACCTCATGCATGCCGCAGCTGTTACTCATGAGCAACTTCTATCAACCGATAGGCCCAAGACCAAGCCCAAGCCCAGGCCCATGGTTCACAGACCAGGGGTAGAGCTTCTCACTGGAGATGGAATATTTGCATTTGGGTATGAGTTATTGGCTAAGTTAATGGATCCGGGCCTAAACAATTCGGACCGGATTTTACGGGTTATCGTTGAAATGACACGTGCCATGGGGTCACAGGGCATGGTGGATGGGCAATACCATGAGATACTGATGCTGTGCAAACAATCAAGGTACTACAAATACGTGTTTGAAAAAAAGGAAGGTGGGTTCCATGCATGTGGGGCCGCCTGTGGGGCCATATTAGGAGGTGCAAGTGAGGAGGAAATAGAGAGATTGAGAAGATATGGTCTGTGTATGGGAGTGATGAGAGCGTTTTCAAATAGAGTTGAAGAAGGAAATGAGATGGAAACAATGGAAGTGGTGAAGGAGCTCAGAAGTTTGGCACTCAAGGAACTAGAATTTTTCCATGAAGGAAAGGCTGAGGCAATTTCTAGCTTCCTTCGTCTCTTCAGCCTTTGACGTTGCGAATCGATATATAAAAATGCGAGATTATATGTATATATGATTGATTGATTGATGTAGAATTTGCAGTAAGTTCGTAGTGCATATACGCGTGGAGTGGCGGAGCCAATATAAGGTAATTTGACTCTAATAATTTCGAAACGTGCCTTCATGGACGACTATTTTTAGCCAAACTACAAGCAAATAATTGAACTAAGAAGAGGATTATGATTTCCCTGTTTTAGAATGTATGTCGACAAATCAATGCTGTAAAGTTTAGGCGAAAAAATAACAGATAAGGGATTTAAAAGGTAAGAGCACTGAGCCACCATGTGGTTGAACTTGAACCTAAATTATTATTACTTGTACAAAATAATGCATAAGTTTTGTCGTTGAGTATTGAGTGAGCATGTACCGCACTTATGATCACCATCTAGCTAATGAGTTTGTTTTGTTTTTCTTGGTAATTATTTATTTATTATCCCAAAACTTCAAGGCGTATCACATTTGGGCTTCGATAGTCCAAAATGGCTATTTCAATATAGGTGGATTATTGTCCCTACATTTGCGTGGAACGAGAATAATATTATTTTGTTATTTATGATTAATTCGACATGTTAAGTGAAAATATATCACACGTTAAGTGAAAATTTATCACGTGTGATATATTGTAATTGACTAAAAATAGCAAAATAATATTATCTCCATTTTACACAAATTTGTATGCTCTTCTAGATATATATTGTAATTGATCATCCTTTCCTTCTGCTCTATAAATTAAAAACTACAAAATACCAAGACCACCAATGAAAAGTCAGTCAATTTTTTGAAATTTCTGATAAAATACTCTGAACTGAAAACAATTTTACTGAAGCCAAAATTTGCCATCTCAGCATAGAGTGGAGAAAAGCAATATATTTTAAATAAATAAAGTGCAATTACCATAAATAAAAAAAGCAAAGAAGGGAAAGAAAGAGACAACACGTGGTCGTAGCCCAAAGGTCAAAAGAGGTAAACTGATTAAACAGTTAAAGCATGATTAAGTGGGGAGAGTAAAAAAAAAAATTAAGAAAGCTCAAGGAAAGCTTGTTTTCTAGCTGAGGAACACTCTGAATTGAAAGAGATTGCAGCATTTTTATTTATTTGAGGAAGAAAAAACAAAAAACAAAATGAAAAAGAAAGAGACTAATTCATTCATTGCAGTTGGTAACAGGTCTTTTTCAAATTCTCAGATTTATCTGTGTGGTAGTGAGGTCCTTCTTCTTCTTCCACATCGTTGAGGAGGCTGGGCGCGGTAACAATAATTGGGTTCATTCAAAGGGCAAAATGCCTTTTTGCCCATGTGGGATGTGGCCCAATAAAGGTAACTTGCTTAGACAGCAGAGGTAGATCTTTTATGTATTTTAGTGTTGTGCAATTATGGATTAAAAGAAATGTTTTTGTTGCTTAAATGGTTAAGGGCATTTACCTCTGCACCCGAGATTCTAGATTCTAGATTCGATTCTCTCCTTTTCAAATATCGATTGTATTAAAATAAAAAAAAATGTTCTTCGTGTGGCCGATGCACGGAATTTTATAATATTTCCTTCCCACCTAACCATACTTGAATAGAGATCATTCTGGGGCCAGGCCAACCCAATAAAATGAATGTATATTGCGAGTCAATTTTGGCCACGTTCAAAAGGGGGCAATGAGATTCTAAGATAATGTTAGTAGCAGTATGATATGTTCCTGGTTCTCATTATTTTAGTTCTGACATTACTGATTTTATGATTTTGTGGCATATGAATGAAACTTCATGCTTTCACCCTGAAAAAAACAACGGTCCTTGCTGTACCTGCAATTAGTTATGCTTTGGGCCATAAATATTCACATATTAGGACAGTAAAAACCTATACATGGAAAATGGAAATGTGCAATTAAAAACCCATGAGGAAAGGGGAGATGAATTTCATGGCAATTCTACAAACTAAAATTGGATTTCTTACACCCTAAAACATTAACTGCACAAGACATTCTCTGACCAAAAAAAAAAAAAAAAACCATCACAGAAACCCCTATACATGACATGACAATTATAGCAAGACCTTCATGATTGATTGCATTGGATGAGACCTGATCACAATGATTCAAGGAAACCAGTTTTTGTTAAAACAGCGTTTCTCACTTTGCTGAGGTCCCTCCCTTTGAGGGTCCTTCCAGCACCTTCAACAACAGAAAAAGAAGAAATCTGGCTCCTTGCAAGCCTCCTAGCAATAAATTCATGAGGGGGTACCTTTGAGTCATAGTCTTCCTCCTCATCATCATCATCACTGTCCCCATCATCATCCCCAACTTCTTCTTCATCATCAGCATCATCATTCTGCCATGAAACATTCTTGGGGGCCTTCTTTGATTTCTGTCCATATACTTCTGACCAATCAGGAATGTTGACAGGTGCTGATTGTTGCACAATTTTGGCTTCATGAGTGATGGTGTTGCTGCTACTACAGCTACTGCCACTTCCATACTTGTGACTGCTAGCTTTTGGGATCATTCTTGAAGCAGTTGGGAGGTGTCTTGGAACAGAAACAGAGGATTCCTTGGATCTACCAACCATTTTGTTACTAGAAATGTTCCTATCTTTTAGAACCTCCCAAACATCCTCTTCCTCAAAGTCTCCATCTCTCAAGGCCCTCCAAACTCCACTGCACTGCCTTGTTAGACCATACCTATTCTCCATTGGTGATTGCCTACCTGTCCAAAGATGACAAAAACATTTCATAGAGGTCAGAATTTAGATGCGGATCATCTGCAGTCCAAAGAAGCTGTTATACCAAAAATGAATACAAGTTGGAGAGAGAGAGAGAGAGAGAGAGAGAGAGAATTCTTAAGATTACTTCAGAGGGTTGCCACCCTTAAAAGGGTGTCTCAGTTGAGGGAAATAAGAATCTACCTTTCTCTGATTGAGAACTGCCAGGCACCACAACTTTCCCAAGATTCCAAAGGGGTATCTGTAACATGGGAAAGCAAGATTATGTTAAAGAGAAAATTTTGAGTAGATGGTTTTCTTTTCTATTACCAGAACTTAAAAGCAGAGGGAAGACATCTTATTTCTTCTATACAAGGTCTTACCTGAGGATGATTGGAAGAATTCGACTAGGGGTAGATTTTATGGAGAACCCAAGCTGCCACAGGTACAAAAGGGCAGTGAAAAATGACATGAATAAGACAGACCTGCCTTTTGTAGATCTCCAAGTTGATGGTTTCCCATGTATTTACTTTTGGTCCCCAAGAAGTCTGACTTCGAAGAAGGTAAAACAAAACCAGTTAATAACATCTTTCTCTTTGTAAATTCCAAGCAAACCCCAAACAAAAAAACAAAAAAAAACAAAAAAACAAACAAAAAAAAAAAAAAACCATAAAAGAAAATAAAGAATATGTCTTTGTAAATTTATTTGGCCAGTAGGGATCTTCTCAGATGATGCTACGTCTGGTTTAGAGAGAGAGAGTGTCCCTTTAAGAAAGAAGAAAAAGGTGCAAACAACAAATGGAAAACAGGGAATGAGGGATGCTGAATTGATTAGTTTAAAGTAGTGGATGCTTTCCTTTCAAGTCCACTTGGATTTGAGGTTATTATCATTACATTTTAAAGTTTTATTGCAAACGTGGGGAGTGTCATACAACAATAATATAAGGCACAATTAAAGTTTTCTCTGCCTTCTGTCTCTTCCTCAGATTTGATTCACATTTTTCTTAAAGCAGGAGCTATACACATGTTACATTCGGAAAATATAACTCTGCAATGCAGGAGAGTCAATACTTGTGACTAAAGCAGCTGAAGCAAAGACAGAAAAATTATGGGGCTGTGACAAATAATATTTTAGCTAAGATCCCTACTGTCTTCCTTTATCTGTTGTTTCTCTTTTTTATTTCGATCTCTTTGGGCTGGCTTGCCCTGGAGGCTTTGCTTTGTAATTCTCTGTTTCGCATAAAAAAACGAAAGAAAAATTCCTTAGTAAACAAAAAAGAGAGAGGATAATATTAAAAGAAAAAGCAGCAGAAATGGTAGCCCAACCTTGTCTTCACAGCGCACAATTTAGTTACTATCGGGAAACAGAGACCAAAAGTAAGAAAATAAACATGAAAGATTGAAAGAGAAAAGTGAATTGTATACGTCAAATGGAAAAGATTAAAAAAGCACGCGAATCATATAATAAACACAAAAAAAGTTTAACCTCAGAGAGAGAGAGAGAGAGAGCCGTCTAGGAAAGTTCTGGGACGACAAAACAAGAGTGATGCATGCATTATGCATATGTAATAAAAGAAAGAATCACAACCAAGACAAAATTGCACATTGAAAGGGAAATCTAAGTTTGGAAGGACCTGTTATAAACAGCAATATGACCCACAAACAATGCCGAGAAGCCGTCATTCATCGTACCTGGGCTACCGACTTGCATGCCAAAGAAAAAAACAGATCATTTTGCCATATGCACGACAAACCAACAAAATTTTCCAATGCTTTTCACCAATTCAACCACCTCCAAGATTACTTTAAAAAAAAAACAAAGGAGAATCTTAGCAAAGCAATCTTAGCAGATTCAAGTTGCTGATGCTCATGCAATGCATTGGAGGGCTGTGGCCATAAGTGGGGTCATCAAGTGTAACCATAAACTTGTGGAAATCTTATTATTCTCGGCTGTTTTCTTCTGTTGTTGGTCCACAGTGAGACTGAGGAAGGAACAAATTTTAACTTTCCCCCGTTGTAAATTTTAGCTTTTTTACCAGCAGCAAAGCAGGACAAGTAAAAACAGACAGATAACAAGAGTTAGCATTCCACCAAGAAAAATATAAGTGACTTTGTCATAAGTTTATGTGTTTATATGACTCACTAATGTATTCTAATCCATGGGAGGAGGAGATGTTGAGATTTGAGAAGTCTGTATATTCTGGAAAGCTGCATATTAATTACATTATTGCCCCCGAAAGATACCTTCTTCTCTTCAAAATATATGGTGGTCGCTATCAACACTCAACGGTGTGATGAATTTTTAAGCACCTAGAAGTTTCTCCTCCATTTTTCCCCTTTTTTTTCAAGGAAATGAGACTGATAGTTTCCGTATGACAACTTCTTGATTGATTTCTTCATCAAGCTCCTAAATTTCTATCAGAGTTTCCCAATCAATGAATGGAAACAATCTTTCTACTAGGATTTTACAATCTTTGAAGATTAGAATTCATTAATGCAACATTTCAAGAGTAGATGATTTTGTAATTCTACTAGTTGATATCATCATCTGCATCTCCACACTGCTAATCAATGAACAAGAATGATATTATTTTTTCCTCCATTTCATAATATGGTTCTCAATATGAGAGCTCAGACTATCATTACAATTAAGAAACTCTCTAGCTAATGATGCTTTGCACTAACTTATTGACTATGAATAAGTCACAAAACTTCCACCATGAAAAATATGGGAAAAAAATGAACGAACTACAAAAAGAGGAAGATTGAGATTACTCAAAATCTTTTAGTGCCTCAGCTCCAGCAACAATCTCCAATATCTCCCCTGTAATCTTTGCCTGACGTTCCCGATTGTAAGAATTCGAAAGAGTCTTCTTCAAGTCATCTGCATTGTCGGTCGCATTACTCATAGCATTCATTCTCGCTGCGAGCTCACTAGCTGTTGATTCCTGCAATGCCCTCAAAATCTGACTGTTCAAGTAGAGAGGCATCATGGCATCAATAATCTGAACAGGGTCTTGTTCAAATTCCATAACCGGTGAAAGCCCTTCCCTCTTTTTCTTCACACTATCCCTCTCCACACTCAGTTTGCCTCCCTTTGTTGTCAGCCTAAAGAACTCATCCTCCATTGCATCAACGCAATTCCCATTCCCATCAACAACCTTGCCCCTCGGTGACAATGGAAGCAGGGTTTGAATAACCGGTTGGGATTTCACCAATGACACAAATTTAGAGTACACAAGTTCAACTTTATCAACCTCCTCGCTAATAAAAAGTGAAAAAACATCATCCGCAATGGCCTGAGCCTCTTTTGTTGTTGCAAATAGGCCACCTTCTATAAACCTATCAACGCTAATCTCAGGCCTACGCATAAAATAGAAGTTACCCTTTTTGCCGACACTGATCACAGTGACATCCAATCCAAGTTTCTTCAATTCGGCGATCCTGGTCTGGGTCTTTTTTATCACTAAGTTGTTGAAACCACCACAGAGACCGCGGTCGCTGGTGATGACCACAAGAGCAACTCTTTTGACGGGTCTAACATTTGTCAGGGGCACATCTATGGCTTCACCTTGAAGCCTCTCATTGATGTCGTAAAGGACCTCCGCGAGGGTCTCGGCAAAGGGTCGGCCATTGATGACTGCTTCTTGGGCTCTTCGAACTCTGGCAGCTGCGACGAGCTTCATGGCTTCGGTGATTTTCTGGGTACTCTTTATGGAATCAATTCGCACTCGGAGCTCACGCAGACCACAGTGGATTGTTGGGGTCAGTGAAGATTGAGAATGGAGACTTGGACGTGAGATTTGGGGCAAAAGGGGTTTAGGGTTTTGGAGAAATGAGCTAGAAAATGGAGGTTTTGCAGAGACCCACATGATTGAATTGGACAAAGCCATTGGCTTTTGTTGGGTTTTGCAGAGATTGAGCAAATTCAGGTCTCTGCAAAATACCTACTTGGTTAATGGACAATTGAAGCTTTATGAAAGCATCAAAATTGAAAATTTCTTTAGGTAATTGAGTCTCTAAGAACCCATTTTGTTGGTGGAAATCTGCTCCCACAAATCGGGAGTTAATTTGATTGAGCTTATCTGGAGATAGACTGTAGAGCTGAGCATAAGTTTTGAATTCTCCGGAAAGCCTAAATGCCAATACGAGTAGACACCGTACGAACACGTATAACACTGTTTGGTTCCCGAGATTCTTGACGGAGGGGAAGCCAACACACCAGTAGTCATTTTAGTTTGACGAACATTTCATTTTGGTCCTCACTCCTTATTTTATTGTCAAACATGAACTTCGCATAAGGAATACATCAATGACTTTTTTACTTAATTGGAATGAGAAAGGGATGAATGGAAGAAGTTAGGAATATGTCAGAAAATGAAATAGTATGAGATTAACTATTTTCTAATTCATATATATATATTCTAATTCTTATTATGTGTTTGTAAATAAAAGGGAAGTTAATAATAAAAATAATTCTTAAACTTAAATATTAGTAAACGTAAGGGGAAGTCCGAAATGAGAGTAATTCAATCTTTTTCAAGTTTATTGGTTTTTTAATGAAAAGTACAGGGTTTTCTCACCTGTCCAACTATCTTTTAATTCAAATACTCATTCCATATAAGTAAACATGTCACAAAGAGTTATCTCAACTCGTATATCAATTCTTTCACATAATGAGTAATATCACACACATCAAGATTTTTTCCAACTCTTTTGTCAAATTCTCTTCCATAGAGTGAACCTTATATGAATCATACAAAATTTTATAGTATCATGCTCCCTTTATGGGAGAGAATTTGAAAAAGAGTTGGAAAAAATCTTGGTGTGTGATATTACTCTTTTAATTATCATACTTTTATATGCATGCTTAGTAACCGCATAACCAAATTTATGTTACGCAGTCATGTATATTGCATTCACAATTAAATCAAGAGCATTTTGATCTCTCCTAGCTATTAAAAAAATATATTTTCAATGTTGTGAACATAGCAAAAGCATCAAAATTCCATGGATATAGTGGTTATGCAATAATCACATGATCATCTTTCATCGAAATCTTAACATACGTTAAGCTTTCTCCATAAATTAGAATTCAAATAATTGTTCTAGATTAAGATCTAGAGGATTAGTTGACAGAATAAGTAAACCTAAATTTGGAAAATGACCTAATGGTTAGTAGCACTATGAGAATTCTAATTTTGAGTGATTGATTTACTTTTGTGCTTCCGATTGCGTTTGTATTATTTTGCACTTGTTCTTTCTAAAAGATGAAAGGTCTGATTCCTAACACATCTATCCATCCACCAATTTAATTTGGCATATCAGAGTTGATTGCGAGCTAAACTACAATACATGCCCTCAATTGTCGCTATATATGTAAACAAAGTGGAAAATGAACAATGTTGATTTGGGTTCGGTTGATCAAATTGGGTTGGGTTTGAGTTGACAAAACCTGCATTCACGCTCAGCCCAATTTTTATTTGGGTCAGAGGTTATTTGACCCAAACCAAACCCAATTTGTACACTTCTAACCCGGCCATACAGTTCAAAATTCCGTACAAGTTGCATCGCAAACCCCAACAACGACCACGACGAGGTGGCTTAACTGGTATTATTTTGACCGGCGAGGAGGCGCGTGGGTTCAGAGAGATTAAGTTAAACGGAGCCGAGGACGATGCTGTCGTATATTCAAACTAAAACCCATAATTTGTTTCTTCTATAACCCTGCAAACTGCAAACGACTGTCGTACAACGCAGCTAAACATTTAGGGACATCAAAGAAGATGCTGGTGATGGCAATATACTGATAGCGAAGTGAAGCCCATTTGAGATTTCATTGGATTTCGTGAAGAGAAATGTCGAAGTTTTTTCAGAGGGTTGCTGGGTTCTTCACCAACAGGACTATGGTGGGAATGGACAAAGCTGGCAACCGTTACTTCGCCAAAAAAGATGAGGTTGATGGCATCAGTATGTGTCTCTCTTTACTCTCTCTCTATCTGTTTTTTTATTGGTTGCTATTCTTTTTGCTGCAATTTTGATTCATGGGTCTTGTTCAGATTGTGTTGAATCTTTGTTTTTATCATTATACTCTGTTGTGTTCTATCTGTTGAATTAACCAATTGGGTTGTCATGACTATGCATTGTACTTCAAGTTTTGCTTCATGGGGTTTTAAGGAATTGCATTAATTTCTTGAGGCATGAATGAACACTATTGTGATTTATGATTGCATTAGCTAACTTGGTAATTGCGTTGTTCTTATAATTTTATGTTGTCTTTGGACAAGAAAATGTATGCGAGTATAATTAAATGTGTCTTCTCTTATTAGTAAGAATTTTTCATACTGATAAACACATGACAAACAGAACTAAAGCTGCACATACTGCATCACAGAAAACAAATCAAAGGAGGAATTAGGCCCTTACAAGTACTGACGGAAAATGTCCGAGGGAACTGCATACTCACACAGAAGTATAGTAGCAGAAGAACCTTTAACATTTCTAAACCCAGCAACTTTAAAACAAAAATCTTCAATGATCTTTTGCACAATCTGCAGTTCAGTGTGAGTAGGACCCTTACATAGTTGATTGTTTCTTCCAATCCAGCAGTGTTAGATTCCATTCGATGTCAATTTAATAACCAACAGAAAAACTAGTCACTGGCCTGTTTAGACGACACTCATTCAACAAGTCTATCCCAATCCTTTTGGTGAAGCTGCAAGTGCAAAAGAGGTGGCATTTTCTCTCAAAGAACCGATGAAAAAAATATACACATTTTAAACCACCTGCATTTCCATGAAACTCATTCTCTTTTCAGTAGATAAAATGTCTTGAATTGCTAACCATGTAACAAATGAATGCTTTGGGAAGCAGAAACATGGTCTTCAATGGAATGATTGGGCTGAATTAGAAGATAGCCGCAGGTTGATTGGGCTGAATGATTGGCCGGCGTCTGCCGGACACCAAAAGTCACTGAACTAACTTTAGAATTTATAGAGCTAGCTGCATAATACATAAGTCTTTGTCCTAACAGAATCCAATAAAGGCCTCTCGTGATGCTGTTCAAGCGACAGATGAGTTTTTCTACCTTTTTTTTATTATTATTTTTTTAATGATACTTATGAAATCTTCTAGGATGAGGTCGTTTTGAAAATAAATAAAAAAGGTTGTAGCAGGAGGTCTTAAATTTAGCATCATCCTCCATCTTGAGCAACATTGACAAGGTTTATTATAAATCTGGAAATCCTTGCTTTGCAGCACATAACTCCTTACCCAGGCCACCCACAGGAACCAGCCAGGGCATACATACTCCAACTTCCAAATATGTCTTAAAATTGAGGCCTTATTCTGGTCTTCGAATTTCTAAATCTTCAACCACCTTCTCTTTTTCTCCTTCATATCAGTAGCTTTACCTTCCTGTAGGAAAGCTTCCATTTGTCGCTCAGTTCTTCTCTTTATAACTTCTGGGTACACTTCACTAGTTCGTGAGCAAGAAGTATATTCTCCAAGATTTTCCTCCCTTGAACAAAATTCGCTTGATTCATACTGATAAAATCTGGTGGAAATTTCTTGATTCTGTTGGTCAGTGTCTGAGGGATACTTTTATAAATGAGGTTGCAGCAAGAAATGGGTCGGAATTGACTCATTTGAGAAGGATTCTTCACTTTAGGAACTAAGATTATAGAAGTGGCATTCACCTTCCTGGTAACTTGCCTGGATCATAGAATGATTGAGTCAATTCCGACCCATTTCTTGCTGCGACCTCATTTATAAAAGTATCCCTTAGACGCTGACCAACAGAATCAAGAAATTTCCACCAGATTTTATCAGTATGAATCAAGCGAATTTTGTTCAAGGGAGGAAAATCTTGGAGAATATACTTCTTGCTCACGAACTAGTGAAGTGTACCCAGAAGTTATCCAGTACCACAAATACGAGAATATACTCCTTTGTATTGAGTTGTGGCATGATAGAGTTCATGTGATATAGCTTGAAGAACATGAAGCTGTATATGTAAATTGTGCGGGATTTAATATTATGTTGTCAATTCACTTCAATTAAAGTACAACTAATATTCGTGTTTTGTTATTTTTCCTTTTCTCCCCTTCTCTTTGACGCACTAGTGAAAGAGAAAAGATGGGTGGTATTCAAGAGGGAGGAGGACCCAACCTCTATTCCAGGTAATTCTTTTGAGTTAGTACAGCTTTTGTTCAGTTTAACTTGTTTTGGTATCTTAGAGATACTATACACTTCGATTTGGAAAAGTTTGCATTCATTGTTTCTATGGCTTCATTGTTTCTTCTACTACCTTTATGTTCACCCTTTGATCATATTAGTTGAGTGGATATGTTGGCTCAACGGGCAGCGGAAAAGGGCTCCAACACCGGAGGTAATCTAGACATCTGCTTCTCTTTAATTCCTTGGTGTATTAATTTCCCTTCTTCCATTAATTTGAAAAAAAAAAAGAGAAATTTGTGCAAAACAGTTTGGTAAAGAAGGTGGATTATTTGTCTGCCATCGTCTAATATAAAATCACCATTGACAAATCTTCCCAGATGCTCATGCTATCATGGACACTATTTTCTTTCCTCATAATGATATCTTGCTTAAGATACATTCTGGATTTCCGCTTCATTTCTACCGTCTGACATTTTTTTTCTTTCTATGCCTCCAGGAACTGATGGATTTGGAAGCAAGACGTGAACGTGTCCGGCAGAATGTTGCTCGTATGTGTCATTTCTACCATTAGTTAACAATTTTGTCTGGTTTCTTCTGCTACTTTCTGGCTCTTTTTGAACCATCGAGTTATAGGTTTACTAAAAAAGATCTTTATTACAAAATCAATATTCAACTTGTGACTTTTGTAGGAGCATCGTTTAAAATGTAAGGTAAGTGAATGAAGTCATGCATTAATTGCATATTGAGGTAGTATGCGTCTGTTATAATATCCCAAAATAAGAAAATATAGTGGCTAGTAGTACAAGATTACCCCTCATCAGTAGCACATAACTATCCCAACTGCCTTAAAATATGCCTCTTAGTGGTAAATACCTGAATGCTGCCAATAGCGCCAAAATCAGAAGTTATCTTACTTTCAAATCTTATGTGTGATAACTGTTCTGTTTTATTTTTAATCAAGAGATTACTCTAAATGGACTGTTTTCCGTATCTTTGGATTGATTGTTATGTTTCAACCTCAGTCACTTTGCAAATAACATGGGGATTCACAATGGTATCAGCCATAAATTTTTTATAAATTAATTGGATTCAGAATGGGATTTTATTCAATGACTGGATTCTGTTGTTGTTGCATTTTTTACTGAGGAATGAAAAAGTGATCCACAAAGTCCCTCCACCTCCTCACCATGTTTATCTCCTTAAAATGGCATGTCTGTTATCTATATAACCTTTTTTTCCCGTCTAAAGGCTGGTAATTTTAAGATTTAGTGGAAACTGGTGTCACTAACTTATAAGTTTGATTGCTCTACTACACTTTTCAGTTTAACACAGATACTTTAAAAAAACATTTATTTATTTATTTTTATTTTGTAAAGTTCTAAAGAAAGAAGAAGAGGAAAGGAAAGCAAGAGAAGGCAGTGCACGTAAAGTCATCAACACTGGTCAGCTTCTTACTGGAACCTTTTATGGTGGTATCTATGCCATTATGCTCATGCAATTATTCATGATTATACTCTGTGTATAGATAAAGTTGGAGGTCCAGATTTGAAAAGTTTCATTCGGCAATTTGGTGATCCTTCTGAAGGTAACTTGTCTTTTATCCTCTCCCGCCTTCACATACACGTTGCTTAGGTGTTAGGATGAAGATTTTTATTTGAAGTATATCCTTCAGATTGCATAATCATTCAGTATTTATCTTGCATTACTAACTGTTGGGTTAATTACTGTTCTTTCTAGGTAGATTATGCCAGAGTAATGTACTTTTCCACAGAAAGGTTTCTTAGAATGTGGATTTTTATTTTAGGGCCATCTTTCAGATTGCAGAATCTTTATTTGCTATTGATTCTGTGGCGCATTACAATTTTGTCACATTAATTTGTTGTTTTTTAGCTAGATTATGCTAAGTTAATTTGGTTTTTTATGTTTGTCTTCCTTGTTTGTTCACAAAGGTGATGAAAATCAGGAAGAATCTGTTTCGATGGAAGGAGTGAGGTAGGTCTGCTAAGATTTACACACACGTGTACTATTCATGTAGTTGCTTTGTATTTACTTTTTAAAAAGAGTACAAGCATTTTATTTTTCTTATATATACCCGACCAGTTTCTTCTTGACCCGTGATTACCAAAGAAAAATAAAATAGAGGAACAAAACTCCCTGACCTGTAGTCCTGCTCAAGTTTGTTTTTTCACCAGTATTTCATGTTTCTTTATGTTAGGTGGGGGTGGGAATGCTCATGTCTTCATGCTTACATTGTTGTGCTTGTTAATATGGCAGGAACTCCAAAGAGAAAGAAGCTAAGAAAGCAAAACAAGATCCTGAGTATGTTCGATATATTCTTCATCTGCGTGTTTGTGCAACCATCACTACTTACACCTTGAAATCATAAACAATATACTAATGAGGGGAATTGTAGATCTCCTTGCTCTTAAATCTTCATACAAAGAGACCTAAAACCTATAAGTTTAAAGTGACCTGATACATTACAATGAATTCAGTTTTCCTAGTTCTTCCCTTAAAAATGCACGCTGTGTTGATTATTCTACATCGTTTGATTATTCTACATTGTTGAACTTTTGTTTTCCAGGTCTACAGAGCCAACAGGATCTGGTCAAACATTCAGGCCAGGAACATGGCAGCCACCAACATGAAGTCACCCCTTGTGTTTAAGCATAAAACATTGATGTGTTCTGCCAATGCCGACGGCCATGGCCCATAGCTGAGTTGTGAGTGAAACTGTAAGGTTTTAGGGAGGGCTTTTTTGGCGGCACCATGCAATACATTTATACTTTGTTTTCCCTTTCGGGCCAGAAAAATGAAAAACCCAGACAAAATACATCCTTGACCACGCATTGATTGAGTTTTGTTGCCCCTTTAACTTTCAAAAGTGTATACAAAGTTGTACGCCCAATTTATTATATTGATGTACATGAAGTTCCTTTTCTTTTTCTATGCTCTAGGTGAAGGTGTCTAGGATAATGCCTTTTTCTCTTAATGATCTGGCAAAAGTAATCATTTGCTTATTGACAATAAAATCTTTTAGAGGAATACATGAATTTTAGTTTCTGAGTCAGCTTTTTGAGCGTTGAATGTTATTTTTGATCGGTGTGTTTAAGCATTATTGTCAACATCATAATTCATATATGTGTACTTTCCTCATACCACTATGGTAGCACTTCAGAGAGAGACGTGGGAAAGGGCTGATACAAAAAAAAAGGCCTTTGCCGGAAGTGATTGTCTTGCTTGTATCCGATCACGGCTGCATGTGGTGGGTTGCCCGTAATGTTGAAAGTTGTTCTGAATATAGGAGGTGATTATAGATCTAAAACAAAAAACAAAAAGTAATTTTTTGGTGGCGCCTTATAAGGGGTCCTCTTTTTTCATATTTATACCTATCTTTGATACGTGGAGCCTAAATGATAGAGGGATTTCTTTTTTTCCCAAAAAAATATAGTATAGCCGGCTATACCACGTCCTCTTCTCATGGTGACTTCACGCTTTTACTAGGGGGCGAGTGTGGGCAGAGTAGCCTGTCACAAGCGACAGTAGTCCCATCTGGTCAGGTGGTAATTTAGGTGGTTTACACGTGGCTTTTAAGAGGACATGGGCACACTTTATGAGGTGCGGCGAACTTGTGGTCATAGGAGGTCTTGTCGTCGACATGGTTGATTTGCATCCCTTCGAATTTCCCCAAGGTAGCTCCGAGACCGAAATTAGGACTAACTGCTATGGTGAAGGACCATGAAATTACCTGCATACTGTTGGTTAAGGCTATAGAATTACGTTAGTGTGGCTTTTGCCACCTTACAGGTGGAATGTTTTCGGATAAAAAGCTAGTTCAGTCATATTAGGGTATTACATTAGTCCCCTGGTGGGTTGGCTGAGGAGGAAGCCTTAGTTGTATGTGTTTGTTAGACTGCTACAATCTATGAATTCAGGGTAGCTGCTTGGATTTTTGATCGTTATTTTTGGCAATATGAATTCAGGGTAGCTGCTTGGAATTCAGGGTAGCTGCTGATTCTTTAGGGGAATGGTAGAGGAGAAAGAGCAGAAGAAGTTTCGTGCAGAAATCATGGCCAACAGTGGCTGGACGGTGAGGATTCGGTGGCTGGAAGTTGTGTGACTGTTCGAGAGAGCACGTGAGAGGGGAGATAGAGGAAAGATAAAGTGGGGAGAATCTAATATGATTTTTAAGAATTTGACTTCTCGAAAATTATGGTTATGCCACTGCACTTTCGTTGATCATAACTTTCTCGTTAAAACTTCGATTTGAACCTACTATATGACTACGAACTCGTGAGGCGAGCTCTACACAATAGAACGAAGAAAATTTTCAAAATTAGTCTCGGACAAAAAGTTAACCTTAAACCACTGAAAAACCCTAAGGGGAAAATTCGTTAATTTTTTTTCTTTTCGAAATTATGAAAATAAAATTAAAATTCGGAACTCGAGAAAATGAAGAGTCCAAGGAAATTATAAAAGAAGGGCTACAAACAAAAGAATTCATTTGAGTTCTTAGAAGTCATTTTATAAATGAGTAAATTTGTCTTTAAAATTTTGAAAATAAGGTGGGTGAGGAAATAGGGCAGGGGGTTGTAAATAGCAGCACTCTTTATATTTTAGTAATCTATGAGGCTGTTTGTTACATATGCTTGGCTTGGGCTGGTTTAGACTAAATTTAATCCCATCTTTGTTTCATATTGTCCTAGTATTAAATGAGATTGCTAATACCGGGCTCACCAAAAACACCTCTTTAGGAGGGGACTAATAAACCTATGTGGAAAGGAAGGATTACTAGTTTCATGCTCACCAATGTATAAGATGCATATATTATATTGTAATAATAATAACATATATTATTATTATAATATACCTATATATATTATTATAAATATATTATATTATAATATACATATATGCATATACTACAATACACATGTATACATGTATAAACATATATACATATATACACGTATATTATTATTATTATTATAATACACCCATATATATTATATATTATGATATATATGTATATGTATTGATTATACCAATGTATATTTTATAATATACATATTATATAATATATAATATATGTATGTATGTTATATAATGACAGGACCTGTCTTCGTGCATCTGCCGTATTTGTGCCTTTATTGTGTTCCGCTGTGTACTCTGTTGTGTTTGTGCATATGTAGTATTTGTGTCTCTGCTGTGTTCTGTTGTATACTCTGCCATGATCTGTTGAGTTTCTGCTGCAATCATGGGTGATAACTCTATTGTTAGTGTTGTTGCTGCTACATTTGTAAATTTGTGTGTTTCTGATTCTATTCCAAGTACTGGCTCCAATACTTGGATAATTGACACTGGTGCTTCTGATCATATGACTTATGATGCTAAATTTTTTGATGAGTTGTATAGTAACACCCGTGATCCATACATAACTAGTGCTAATGACTTACTCTTTCCAATTACTGGTGAGGACACAATCTCTCTCACTACTACTCTGTCCTTGTCTCGTGCATTTCTAGTTCCTAGTATCCATTGTAACTTGTTATCTGTTGGTTGATTACTTTATACATTTAATGCTTCTGCTACTTTCTATCATACACATTGCTCTTTTCAGGATCTCAAGACTCAAAAGACGATTGGGCATGGTAAACGGATAAGGGGGGTTATATTATTTGACATTGCCTTTTGCACCAGTTTGTGATCATGCTTTAATACTGTTCAAAGTTGCAGTGTCAAAGACAAATATCAAATTTGGTTATGACATCGTCGCTTGGGACACCCGTCATTTGGCTACCTTAAGCGTCTGTTTTCATCTTTATTCCGCTCTTGTGATGAATTCAGTTTTAAGTGTGAAATATGTATTTTGGCCAAGAGTCATCGCATTGTGTTCCCTTTGAGTGAAAGTAAAGCTGCAAAACCTTTTGATTTAGTGCATTATGATGTGTGGGGTCCGGCTCGAGTTTCTTCGAACGAATTTCGTTGGTTCGTCACATTTACTGATGATTGTACCTGACTCACTTGGGTTTTCTTGTTGAAAAATAAACATGATGTTACTTCCATCCTTCCAGAGTTCTGTACTATGGTATCTACTCAGTTTCATGCTCCGGTCAAAGTATTCCGGACTGATAAAGGAGACGAATATGTGAATAACACTTTGACATATTTCTTCCGTGCTCAAGGTATTTTTCACCAAACAACAACCTCATTTACTCCTCAGTAGAATGGTGTGTCTGAACGCAAGAATCGTCAGTTACTTGAAGTTGCCCGCTCGCTCCCTTATGTTGAACATGTTTGTTCCTCATCATCTTTAGGGGCATGTTGTTTTATCTGCTACCTATTTGATTAATCATACTTCTAACTGGGTTCTTGATTTCAAGACTCCACATGATGTGTTTGGTGACCATGTTTCCCTTGTCTTAGTCTCCAAGTTGCCCCATAAAGTTTTTGGGTGTGTTGCCTATGTTCATGTCTACTCTCATCAACAGAGTAAACTTGATCATTGTGCTCTGTGATATGTCTTTATTGGTTACTCTTTTATTTAGAAAGGTTATAAATGTTATCATCCACCTACTTAGAAGTTGCATGTTACTTTGGACGTGACTTTCCATGAAAAAGTGCCTTATTATGTCTCTATCTCCTCTCCAATTCAGGAGGAGAGGGGGAGTGAATTGGAGAGTCTTGAATTGGAGAATGATGTGTTTGAAGATACTGCTCTCAAGAAGGAAACGACTTGTAGTACTGAAGCAAGTGACCGATCGCCCATATCTGAAGATGAAACTTGTCGTCCCTGTGAAAAAATGACTGATTGCCTTTTGGAACTCGCCCAGTTGCTTATATATGAAGATGAAGCAGGTGCTCTCGGTGTTGAAACAACAGGTCACACTGAAGTAAGTGACCAGTCGTCTGTATCTGAAAATAATGACAGTGATTCTTGTATGGATGAGTTCAATGCAATACCCATTTTGCTCTGCTAGTGCCTCAATATACTCATGATAGTGAATCAAGTGAGGTAATTTCTAATGATCTATTTGTGTTAACTTATCAGTTACCCCCACGAACCACTCGTGGGAAACCTAAAGTACAATATTCTCCTGATACATGCAAAATCTAAATATTCTATTAGCCATTATGTGTCAACTCATTGTTTGTCTAAGTCATATGCATCATATTTATGTCAATTATCTAGTGTATGTGTGCCAACTAAGTTGCATGATGTTTTATCTAACCCTAAATGGATGGAAGCCATGAATGTTGAAATGGATTCCTTGAACAAGAATAAAATATGGGATTTAGTTCCTTTGCCAAGAGGGAAGAAAGCTGTTGAATGCAAATGGATGTTTACTTTGAAGTATAAAGTTGATGGTTCCATTGACCGTTAGAAGGCTATATTGGTAGCAAATGATTATATTCAGACCTATGGAGTAGATTACTTGGAGACCTTTTGAAACGACCCGACCCAAATTCCACTTGAAATCCGGGCCGATTCCTGTTTAAAACTGACACCTGGTAACTATGGGTCGTAGTTGACCAAAATGCCCTGAAAACAGTAACATAAACCCTGAGCCCCTAACTCATGGCTGCGCCTGGTAACTGTAGGCTGCCTACGTACCCTTACTGAGGGATTAAGCCACACGTAGTTCTTTCCTCTGTCCCTGACCTGCAACTGGTTTGTTTACTATAAACCTCGCTCTAGGGCTGACGTTTCTGGAGTATCCGAAACTCCGTTTTACGATCCGTCAAACACTATACGATCCTGGCCAAGTCTAGATTACCATAGCCAAAAATGGTTACGATCCAACGGTTCGAAACTATTGAACCCGGAAATCACACACTATGCGAGATCCGTTCGGGGTTCAAACAATATCCGAATTAAGATCCGCGAAATCCTACGCGCTCGTGGAGACTATGAGATTATTCTAGGACTAACTGTGGTCCCCACCCTACTGCTCACGCGCCGCCCACGCGTCGGCAGCGCGTGGTGCCCAAAGCGATAACGCTTCGCCGAAAAATCTCAACATCTCGGCTCAAGACTCTTATCCTAAGTAAAACACCCTATTTGGAACCACTTTTGTTCTTGAATCTACCCCAAAAACTGGCCGGAAGTAGCCAGAACAGTGACCCGAAAGTCTGCTGAAACCTAACTTAAAAATCGAACGATCTACGCTTGAAATATCTGAAATCCTACCAAATCAGCAGCTAGAGCATGGAAAATAGCTAGAAAACCATACCTCACTCGTCCGATTTGGTGGACGGAGGTGTCCGAACGAGCTCCGTGAAATGCCATAAAAAACTGTCCAAACTGCCCTGTTCCGTTGCGATTTCCGGCGACCACACCGGCGGATCACGGTTAGGCTGGGGTTGGAAGAGGGAAGTTTGGTGGTTCGTTTGGCACTGGTCTTGCCTGAATCGGAGGTCGGAGCTGAGAGAAAACAGCTCCCAAAGTCGGCTGGTCGTCCCCCGAAAACCAGAAAATCTGGGTTTATATAAATTGAAGATTGAAATATTTATGGTTATGCCACTGAACTTCTTTTGATCGTAACTCTTTCGTTACAACTCTGATTTGAGTCCACTACGTGTCTACAGACTCGTTTCGTTGCGCTCTACGCAACGGTGCAACTGAAATCCCCAAATTCCTTCTCGGTCAAAAAGTTAACTTTTAAACTAATAAAATATTCTAGGGGTATAATGGTCTTTTAATGGAATAAATTAATAATTAAATATTAATTAAGGATTGGGTTGTTACACCTTTGCTCCAGTGGCAAAGCTCAATACTGTGCGTATACTATTGTTCTTGGCTGCTAACCGCGACTGGCCTTTATTACAATTCGATGTCAAAAATGCATTTCTACATGGTGACCTCAAGGATGAGATTTACATGGATCATAATCATGGTATTCATGTAACCTATAAGGAGGGTATTGTGTGTAAGCTGCGAAAGTCTTTATATGGATTGAAGTAGTCTCCAAGAGCGTGGTTTGAGAGATTTGCAGCATCTATGAAGAAATTTGGGTTGGTGTAGAGTAACTCGGACTATACGTTGCTTCTAAAGCGTCATAAAGGTAAATTAACAGCTTTAATTATTTATGTTGATGATATGATTGTGATTGGAGATGATTAGGCAGAAATGAAAAATCTTCCGAAGTATCTGGCTTCCGAGTTTGAGATGAAGTCATTGGGTGATTTGAAGTACTTTTTTGGGATTGAAGTTGCCAGATCTAAACATGTTATCTTTCTGTTTCAAAGAAAATATATTTTGGATTTACTTGCAGAGACTGGAATGTTAGATTGTAAACCAATTGATATCCCTAGTGAACAGAATCATAAGTTAGGGTTGTATCTTGATTAAGTCCCTACAAATAAAGAGCGTTATCAACGACTTGTGGGGAAATTGATTTATTTATCTCATACACGTCCTGATATTGCATATGCAGTGAGTGTAGTGAGTCAGTTTATGCATTCTCCTAGTGAAGATCATATGGGTGTTGTGATGCGCATCTTGAGGTATCTGAAAGTAACTCTGGAAAGGGGTTAATGTTTTGCAAGTATAGTCATACAGATGTGGAAAGGTATACGAATGTTGATTGGGCTGGTTCAGTCACTGATAGACATTCTATGTCTGAGTATTTCACATTTGTTGGTGGTAATCTTGTTACTTGGAGGAGTAAAAAGCAAAAAGTGGTGTCTAGGTCTAATGCCAAGGCCGAGTACTATGGGATGGCTTAAGATGTGTGTGAGTTACTATGGTTGAGAAGATTATTGAGAGATCTTAGGTTTGGACCCCAGAAACCCATGGATTTGTATTGTGATAATAAAGCTGCAATTGCAATTGCGCATAACCCTGTGCAACATGATCGTACAAAGCACGTGGAGGTTAATCGACATTTTGTTAAAGAGAAGTTGGATGCTGAAATTATTTCTTTTTCGTTTATATCATCCGAGTATCAACTTGCAGATGTTCTTACGAAAGTTGTGTCTACTACGGTCTTTCTTAACTCACTTGACAAGTTGGGCATGCATTACATCTTTGCTCCAACTCGAGGGAGAGTATTAGCGAAATCCTAGCTTAATTAAGATATTTATTTCCTAGTTTATTAGGATTATATTTCTTTCCTTTTTGTATAGATATTGTGTAATTATGTTTTTATCTTGTTTCCTAGTTTGACCCTACTAGGGTTACAT